TTTGTAGTTTCAGAGAGTGTGAGAGACTGATTTCTGGTAAGGATTGCTTTTAAGATGATGGTAAAACTGTTCTTCTGCTGGCACCAGAGCATAAAACTTAAAAATCTACCCTGTAGTCAAAGTCAAACAAGCATTTGGCTGAAAAAAAACAGGACTATGCTTTGATGGGCAAGAATGAACAGCACAGACACTGGAGTGTTGCTTTTCAGAAGTACCAAATTATGCATCATATCCTGTAAATAGGCATCCAAAGCTGTAATTCACAATCTTCACTCCTTTGTTTGTATTTTCATGCATGATGTATATCCTTTTTTGATTGCCTCCTAATACTTCTTATTAAACATGGAACCATTTTTTGTTGATTTGTAAGTGACTACTTGCAAACAAGTATTTTCACAGCTCTGGAAGTGACAAATCCTTGATGAAGTTTCCCTGAGGGTAATGTTTCCTTGCCATCAGATAAACAATCTGGTCTGTCTCCAAGGTGAAGAGAGGAAAGAAATCTGTTACTCCACGAGGGTTGGACATTAAAAGCCAGAAGCAGAAACATACCAGGTAGGACCATGTGTTTCTATCAAGCATTGCAGTATGTGGTCTCTAGTAATTAATGCCCATCCTCTACACTGCTCACTGTTCCTTTATCATATTCCCCGTGGCAATGACTTCCACATTGCTGCTATTATCTATTTTTTCCTTGCTGCTGCTGAAAACAGATGTTTGTGCTGCCTTTGGCTTATGCTTTGTGTCTGCGATTGGCTATACTTTTAGTGGAGCTGAAGGACCCCACTGGGTTGCTTGTACACTTTCAGTGTGAGGCTAATGTCTGTTGTAATTGTCTGCAGAGAGGTATTTTGATCCAACTTCTGAATCAATCAACCAACTTTAGTCTCCAAGGGGAATTTCAGACAACTATCTGTTTGCAAAACAATATTTTATTAATAAAAAGAATTATAAACAGTAAGAAAGAAACCCCAATTTTACACTGAATGAAAAATCACAAAGGAACTCCCAGAAATGTGCCTCAGTTCTTTGAGCTCTGTACAAGAAATTCCATTAGATGGCAAAGCTACGTACGCATTCATCCAGCTCTGGAGTTCCTAGCACAAGAAGGACATCAATCTGTTGGAGCAAGTCCAGAGGGGGACAACAAGATGGTCAGAGGAATGGAGCAGCTCTCCTATGAGGAAAGGCTGAGAGAATTAGGATTGCTCAGCACGGAAAAGAGAAGGATTCAGGGTGACCTAATGAGGCCTTCCAGTACCTGAAGGAAGGACTTTTTACAAGAGTATGCAGTGACAGGACAAGGGGGAATGGCTTCAGACTGAAAGAGAATGGGTTCATATTAAAGATTAGGGAAAAGTTCTTTGCTGTGAGGATGGTTTGGCACTGGAACAGGTTGCCCAGAGAAGCTGTGGATGCCCCACCCCGGAGGTGTTCAAGGCCAGATTGGATGGAGTTCTGAGCAACCTGGTCTAGTGGAAGGTATCCCTGCCTATGGCAGGCAGGTTGGAACTGGATTATCTTTAAGGTCCATTCCAACCCAGGCCATTCTGTGATTGAAAGATGACTGAAAGTACAAAAAAGCATCTTGCATACTTCTATGCAGAGCAGCTACACGGCTGGACAGACTTACCGATACACACAAAAAATCACATCGGTGATTAATAAAGCCATGCTTTGTGTAGCACCAAGGAGAGAATTGTGTGAATTAAAAAAAAGCTCACTGAGAATTGTGAGCCCAGAAATCCTGAGTTAGGGACATGATTGACCAATTTCTGCTTGCAGTTTCATCTCCTCTTTTCTCAAGGGAAATTTGTCAATAAGGGCAAAGAGCTCAGCTGGTGTTGCTGGGAAAGGATAACGTTCCTTGTCCATTCCGTGCTTGTCCATCACCACAATGTTGAAATTGTAATGGGGGATCCTCAGCAGCAGCCTGAAAAGTAAGAAACTCTTGTTAAAACCTGTCACCTACTGCCTGGGCACTTCCAACTAACAAAGGGCAGGACAACCTCTTGATTCTTAGCAGAGGAAGGTGGGGATGGTCAGAGGGGGCTGCACAGAGGCTGCTCTGTTACAGCATCAAGAACAAGGAGTCAGATAAAGAGCAGGTGCCTGTATGTGCTGCAGGCTATAACTCTGGATGAGGGAAGGGTCAAGGTAACTGCACCCAGCTCTGTTTTCTTCTCAGACCTCTGACTAAGTAGAGCACATGCCATTACCCATTGCTATCACAAGGGTGAGAAAAAGGTAAGGCAAAAAAGGAGTATATATATTGCCCGAAGAAAACCATTGTGATGAAGCTAGAGTTATAAATAGATTATTCCCTTTCTTGGCTTCCACATGGTATTAAATCACAATAAGAAAACACAGGACGAAATTATTGGAGTCTGCTTTCATTTTTACCTGATAAAAACAAACATCTACTTGGTGGTGACTCCAATTTAGGAGAACAAAAGCCACTTGCTAATCATGGAGGAGTCCTTTTCTTCCTCAGTCGTAAAAGGCGTCATTTCAGCTCCTCTGAAGGTGAAGGAGCAACAAAAGCTTATCTTTGGTTTGAAAGGATAATGAACTGGATGATCCTCAGACATGCTGTCAGTCATCATTATTAGTGTGGGTAAAAAATTCAGGCAGCCATGAGAGAAGATGGTATGAAGACAGAAAAGCTGCCATGAAGAAGAGGATCTGGGGCGGGGCGGGGGGGGGTGTTGGAAAAGTGTGAAGCCTTTAAATTGACCTTCCTCAGCCTTCTAACAAGTTTGAACTCTCTAGGCATAGTCTGGTTGCAATTAGGGAGCTTGGCCATTAAATTCAAGCTAAAATAAAGATTAGAGCTAAGCAATGGTAATAGAGTACTACATTCATCTTGTGCCTCATATCACCTAAGTAAAATGCTTACCTTCTAAAAATTCAAATGCTAAACTTGTGAGCTTTACAAGATTTTAACTAGGGTACCTGTGCTCATTAGCTTACTGAAATGCCAATTCTGATCAACATCATTATTTAAGATGTCTCTTTAAGAATGCATTTTATAGTGATTTAAGTGCCTTCTAGAGCTGGAAAGCTGTAATTCACATACTAAGCAACAACTGAGAAAAAAAATCAATGGAAAACTAACTTTCACTGAGTGCAGGGCAGGTCACACCATACCAATTTCTGAAATGTATCTTCATTAAAGGTTGCAGGGGAGCAGGGATGAAATGTTAAGAGTGCTTATTATTTTCTACAGAGCCACAAGAAAACCATCTCATTTAGTAACAGTACTTTTGTTCAAAAAAATAAAAGAAAGGTTCTTTGGGCTCTCTTTTTCCTTTTACAGAGAATATTTTTTTTTAAAAGAAAACAAAACCTTCTCTGATGTGTCAGCAATTTGCACTGTCTCCAGTTAAAACTCACTCCCTTTCATCAGGCATATCACAGAAAATGTTGCCTGGATGTTCTTTTTTTCTAAATAACTACTACTTTCCCTGCCAATGAGTGTTTCACTTTTGGCTTTTGTTGTCTTCCTGTCCCATGGAAATGCTGACACTTGAAGTCTCCCTTTCACTTAAAAACCAGTCCTCTGCCAGTCTAAACTCAAGTCAAAACAGTTTAGGCACCTCGGTAAAACTGCTGATGCTGCAGTTGGGCTGAGGAGGCTGAGATATCTCCTCTTTGAAATGTATTATTTCTACATGTGGGACTTCCAAGAGCCACCCCTGCTTCCCCTTCAGGCCTGGCCACAACCACCAGTGTTCATAGAATTACTGCTGGTGCAGAGAGGATGGGCTGTTGCTGCCATTTGGGGTGCCCTGGCAGTTGCTCCACAGGAAAAGGACTGTGGCCTGTCCTGTTTGCATCAGACCAACTGCAGCACAAATGCAGACTTGGAGTGTTTTCGGTGGCAGCACCCAAAAATATAGCTCTATCACATGACTATGGAGATACTAAATCTTTAATAAATAAATAAATAAATATTAAGTTTGTGATTATATTTTTATTTGCCTGTAAATTTGCAGTAGCTATCACACAGAGAGCTAACTAATCCTAAAGCATTCCTATCAACATCTACCTTATAGTGTCTAATTACATACATTGGAGTAGAATATGTATAGTTAGAGAGTAAGATGCAGGGAATCAGAAGCAATGCCTTTTGTATGATGAGGTGCAAACACAACAGCAGTGAGAGGTTCCTTTACCTGAGTTTCAGGGAAAGAGATGGAGACAGCAGCTTTACACCTATTCTTCCTATCTGGGCTGGGAACACACCAACCAGTTCAACCACGGTAATGTGTCGGAGGTCTAACCCACACTGTGCTGGCTGGAAGGGTTAAAACAAGAAACAGGTGTGTTAGTTACCAGTGAGAGAACAGGGGGATGTCTGGAATGTGCAGCAAGTGTTCACAGAGTCCCATCTTCTTGTGTTAGCGAGATGTTTTAAACTGAATCGAGAGCATAATTCAAAAACTCTCTAATTTTCATGGCTAAAAAACTAGAGCTTTATGACTGCAGGCAATGTTCAATGAAAGATTCTTAGCTACTCTAAAAAAAACAACACGTAGGGACTACCTAGGAGAAATATAAACTTGTCTTTGTAGTGAAAAGATGCCAGGGTATTAAGCCCTGTAATCTAATTTGGCAATCAAAGCAACATATGAACAATAGAAGTTGACTGCAGAAAGTATTCTTTCATGCCAACTTATTTACCCACTGTCAAACGGTGGAAAATGTACTATAGCCATTAAATTTAGTATCTTAAATTATTTCAGTGTGATAAATATACTGCATTTTCTTGCAAGTTTATCTAATGGGGAAGAAAACAGTTTTTTTTTCTTAAATACAACTGTAACTTAAGCAAGCAGTTAAAAACATAATCCTGTTCATATCCCAGTGACTATTTATACTGAATTTTCTTACAACTGTGAGAAGAAAAGAACAAGATAAAAGCACTTGTTGCTGTGAAAGAATACAAGATGGGTTCCTTTCCTCCCTTTCCCTGAGGGACAAAGATACATTTTGGAGAGCCACCCCTAAGTTTAGCAAAAAGCCAACAAGAGCATCACAATTACAACACATAAGAAGGATAATTACAATAAATTTTAAAATTTTTTGAACAAAATACCCCAGTATTATCCCCAGCACTCTGGACAATTTCTGTGCTCACTCTGTAGTGCTTTGTTTGCTGGTCCATTTGTTATTTCTGAAGGTACTCATTTGTAGTTACAAATTCTGTAAGCCTGGTTTGCATGAACTGCATCCACTGAAGGGCTGGAGGGTTGGGGGTTTTTTCAACTTCTTTAGCAGCTGAGTGATGGAATTATTATTATTGAGTGCAAGTTAATATTAAATTAATTTGTGGATGATGGGAGGTCAGAACTGCCTGGGATTCAGTGACTGATCAGTCAGAAGCAGCACAATCCAGACTGGAGCTGAGTTAGAGACTATGGAGATGTTTCAACTCAACCCCCCCGTGAAAACGATTAATCCCAAACTACGACTGTTTCAGCCAGACCCTCCACTGGTTGGAACACAACAGCTGAAGTTTGTGGATTTATATCAAGTGGAGCTTGTCCTCTTGTGTCTTTCCTTAAAGAAAAAACAATAGTTGCCCACCCCCCCTTAAACGTCTTTTACCTGCAGCATTCCCAGCTGCATCCTGTAGAAGAAGTTGGCTGCAGTAGGAGTTGAAATAATTAGCAGTCTCCGCTTCTCATAAAATTGATCCAGAAGCGCAGCTGCACTCCTCACATTCACATTAATATTCATGGCTAGAATTAAAATGAAAACAAAAGTTATAGAGCATACTGGAAACAGATCTATTTCTACAAGCACCGTTAGACAGCAGAAACACAAGAACAGGAAACAATAATAGAGAAGATACGGGTGAAATACTGGCCTCATCAAAGCCAACAGTTTTATTGTAATTTGTTCTGGCTGATGCACTGACTCCAGAATGCGACATTTTGTAGAGAGCTTTGAGCTAAACCAAACTGTCAGTTGTGAGGTCCCATCATCATCGTAGGAAAGAGCAGCTGAAGGTGACAAAGTCTTCAGCTCTAAGTGCAAATTGGCAGAGGAGACAAAGATGTTAAGTTTCCTACCTCTGGGATGCTGAAGCTGTATTCCACCCCACACCCACTTCCCAAATTCTCACTGCCTTGAGAACCATTGCTCTGTCAGTCCCTCTGGTAAAGTGGTGAAATCTTCACTTACGTGCACAGGTTGGCTCCACTCCTGACCACCCCAAATTGTACTGGCACACCCTGGCTGGGCTTCCTTGCAGCTCGTAGCCACCAATGCAGGAGAACTCGCATGTAGCACCGTAGTTATTTCCGTCCCCTGAACACTTGATGTAGCCATTGTCTGGGGCATTTAATTTCACACAGCGCCTGACTTCAAGCAAGAGAAAACAAACAAACAAAAAAAGACAAGGCATGAATCACCATTTGCTATGGTGCCAGTACAACACCAGTACTGAGGACATATTTCTGTTTGTTTTCTGTGTTATTAGGGTCATGTACTTTAAAAGCCCAACCAACCAAAACAAACCCTCACCCTGATTTTTGTGTAAACTAAAATGAACCAGATATACAGGTGTATGCATGTGGTTGTGGCATCATGATGACAAAATGTCATGGAGCATGAAGAGCTGAAGCCAAAACCTCCAGGTTTCATTTCTATATATTCAAATCTGGATTTGAAGATCTGGACTTATGAAAGGGCGTCCATGCTTGACAGATGTGACTCACAGTTGAAAAAACTCCTTTACATCTTTGTTTCAACAGCTCACAAGCTGGATATCAGCTTGCAGGAAGGAAGGGGTATGGAGCAGGAGGCAGGAGTGATCAATGAAGCTCTTCCTTCACGTGCAGAAATTCTGCACCCCGCTGCAGACCTGGCCCCCAGGGTCTTGAGCAAGACTGTTCTCCCTTTCAGCATCAACACAGAGTTTATATATGCATACATATGCAGATAAATACAGAAATGAGGATGTTTTCAAATTGCTTGCTAAACCAGATGCAAGTCAGTGACTCTGTTTATAGGGTAAAACAACATTCTTACCTCTGACTTTAACAAGAAATTTGCAGGTGCCTTTGTTTTCAGCTCTGTCATAGACAGTATATTGGATTTTGTGGTCGCCTTCTGGAAAATGTGACCCTGGTGGCAGGCCTTTCAAAATAACACTAAAACAGGAGATAATACAGGACATAAATTTAGCAGTATTTTCCTACAGACAATACTCTCAGGCACATGGTGCAACTACTGGGTATAGTCAGAAGGGTGAGGTGATCCACAGCAGCATTTTCACCTGGAACTTGCCCCTGTCCTGCAAACGAGACAGGAGAATTCAGACATGTTAAACATATCCTCAGTGTTGAGGCACTGAGGTCGCATAGTGTTCCATGTAATGGAAGAGCTTATGTACTCATGGAACTGCAGGACCCTGGGCATTTAAGGAAAGCACTACATACTCTAAAAACCATCACAGTTTAGCAAGACTTTATTAAAACAGAGACGTGGTTTATGGAAAAGCTTCCACTGAATCAAGACTTCCCCTCTTCTGAGCTGAAAACTGTTACTTTTTTAACAAAGCCTACATGGGACATTTCTCATTGTTTTTTTCTATCAGGCAAAAAGACTTTGGAATTTCTTTATTCTGTCATTTTCAAAATTTTTGTTTTATCAGGTGTAATTTTTAAATGCTATTAATCGTCTTAGAATTATTAGATCAGACCTTTACAGCAATATTGTTTTTAACTGTGCAATGAATTTTTCTTTCTAATATTATTAGTTTAGAGCAATAAAAGGGCAATGTCATTGTGTCTTTCAACACTTTTTTTCTATTTTTATGAAGTGTAAATATCTTTACACTTACAAGTTTGGGCTTTTAAGCTTAATCAGCCTCTTATTACACCACTGGAGAGTGTAACTTGCTTATTGAAAGAAGTGGATTTTCTATACTCTTACCTTTACAATAATCTTAAGAAATTGACATAAATCCTGCATAATAAAAATGAGAAAATCAGAGGCAGTAGTATCATAACAAGTACACCTTGCTCTCTGGAAAATGTGACTGTGAATCCATAAAAATTGTTAAAGAAATTTTGAAGTGTTAAGTTTAAAGTTACTGAAGTTTCAAACAACGAACGTTACTTTAAAGGCAACTGCAGAATCCTGGAACATCAGTAGCCAGCACTAGTTCAGGAAGAAGGATAAAGATGATTTTTTTGTGCCACAATTTACCTTGCTTATTTTTAAGACAGTCAAACTTGCCTCTGCTGCTACCTCCAGTGCACTACTCTCTTTTCGTTACGTACCAGTAACTTGCTGTAAGAAAACTTGTTGACTATGAGATCTGCAAAGGAGCTCCAGAAAATTTCACAGTTCAGAATGCTGTTGTTTATTACATCAGCTCTAAAATAACCACAACAATCTGCTATTTAGTTCCCGAACAATTCACCTCCAAGTTGTCAAAATAAGCATCTTGGATGAATCACAGGGAAAGAACACTCAGCCACCCTCATCAGCTGAATTTCTAACAAAGGAATTAGAAGGAGAAAATGCAAACATCTACAGATTTGCACCTACTCTGTCAGAATCCCATCAGCAGTGTCCCGTCCCTCTGGGGTGTCCCAGAACACTCTGGCTGTCAGCTTGTTGGGCTCTGCGGTTTTCTCCTTCACACTTGGGCACTGGATTCTTGGAGGTTCAGTGTCTGTTGAAATAAATGTCACAGAAATGGTGCACCTGTTGGAGCTATGCCTTTTCTTCACAGCTCTTTCCCTGCTGTCAGTGTAACCCAGGGCCTGGCCTAGATGTCACCTGGCCTCCCCAGCACTGGAGACCCAACCAAGGCATGCAAAGCCTGCACTTCTCACCTTTTTGTATGAACAGTAAGAGCTGACAACGATCAGTCCTTTGCAAAGCAAAAAAAACAAACAAACAAACAAAAAAACCAAGTTATTGCAAATTTCTTTCCTTAGTTATGGTACATAGTATGTATAGTACCATATATGGTTTCTTTACATCAGATTAAAGGTAAAGTCAACAAATGGACACCTCTGAACTTCAAGGAGGGATGTCGAAGATTGTATCCAAGGAGCTTCTGTTCTGTTTATCTGCATTCTTCTCTTAGTTTGTCTGTGAGGTAGGTATTGTGATTAAGGGCATTTTTGAAGCACACTGAACATCCATTTCTCTCTGCATGATAATTTTTCATGTTACTCTCAACATACTGCTTGTTTTTACTGCAGTAATGGTAAAACAAGAAACAACAGAAGACTGGCACAATTTTCATTTTGCAAAAAATTAATGCTGCATTTGAGTTTTTCCTAATAACTCTTATAATAATGCCTTACAGGTATTTAAAAATAGAAAAGTAGGTACATTTTGAAAGACTGCTTGACTGCTACCATAACACTGTGACTACTATTCAAAAGCAAAGGAACAGTGGTCATGTCAGAAGACCCTGATGGAGGATAAAGGTGATGTACAGCTGCTTGTCTTCAGCTGCGTTCACTGCCAGTCCTGACACCTTGTTCCTCATATTCCTTATTCACTCCCTTACTTTTAAGGGACTCTCCCATTATGTGTGAAAATCTGCTGACACTGCAGCCTGTGAGAGCTCTGCCCTCCTCTACAAAGCTACATTGCCGAATCAGGGCAAGAAATAACCCAGCCTCACTAAGGCTGCATCTGGTTCTGATTAGTTCACTGTGGTGACCACTCACCACTGTGGACAGTGTGAATCAAATAAATGTGATGCTGGAATAAAAGCTAGAGCAGCATTTAAGGGCCCAGTGTTTTAAACAATTAATCAGAAAGCTCACTAAGCTATTTAGTGCAAAGAAGACTGGTTGGTATGAACTAGCTTGGACTTCCATACCATGAGGGCAAACAATAAGGTTACTGTGGGAACCAACTCACCAAGAAGCCAGGAGCCAGGCAACCTTTTTAGGGGGATTTAAACATTTCTGGGAAGGATATTTGCTTTGGTCGTTTCAGCTGCCTGTTAGCATTCAAGAGGCACTAAATAAACCCAACCAGAATAAGTCTGATTTGAAACAGATTAAGAGAAAGCAGCTGTCCATCAAAGAGGCTTTTTCACTGCAGTCTCTACTGGGATGTCTTAAATACCAAACAGTGCTCACTGCTCTTTTTCTTCAGTCCCTTGTACAAAGTTATGGCAAATTTACAGCACATTAAGCACTTTGGCCACAGCCTGGCCCCGAAGAAAGACAGGTCTAAAAAAACTCCAAGGAGTTTTAATCAAGAGGTGACCAGCGACCATCCAGGCAACGCACAAGTGACAAAACTGAAACACAGCTACTCCAAGAAAACCTTCAGTAAAATGTATGATGTGAGCAGGGTGCCCACCTGCAGGTCAGAACACTAAACTTGTTCCAAAACAAACCCAACAGAGGAACCCATAAGGTTGCTGACTACTGGAGAAGTTTTATCAGAGGGAAAAATTGTCCTGTAAGAGCTGGAGTATCAGACCCTCATTTAATAAGTACTCCTGGGCAGAGCTGGAGCCAGGACACACTGCAAAGGTCTCTGACTCGGTACAAGAAGTCTTAGCTTTAACTGCAATGTCAGTGCTGAAACACCAATGAAAAGCAAAGCGGATTTATTTAAGCTGTTTAGCAGGGCTATGTATTAAATGTCAGAATCTCGCCTGCAAGGTTTAAATCATGGACATGGAGATTGAGTTTTCATTAAAAACGTGGCACTGTTCAGCCACAGTCCTGCAAGCTGTCATTTTTCTTGGCTATCTGGCAGCAGCAACCGGTACTCTGGCTTCATGTGGGGAAATGGCATTGCAGACATGGCATCAGGAGTTCAGCAGTGGAATACTCAATTTTAAATCAGCTTTTTGAACTCTGTAGAGGAAAATGCAAAGTTTTCACGTAGGTTTTAGATTTTGGTTGGGGGCTTTTTGTTCACTTTGTTTTTTTGTTTGCTTGCTTGGTTGTTTTTGGTTTTTTGGTGGTTTTTTTGTGGTTGTTTTGGGGGTTTTTGGTTTTTATTTGTTTGTTTGTTTGTTTTTAAACATACTAACATATTAACAATTTCAACAAAATTTAAAGAGCTTGTTAGCGTTCTTTCTCACAATTTGTTACAGGTTTACATTTCTTTGCTTGTGAATCTGGGATGGCAATAGGAAAGAAACAGAGGGATGGTTCTGAATGCCCACTGCTTGCTTACTCAATAGTCTGTACGGGATGGGTAAACTGTCTGTTGTTCCATGAATATGCTGTTATTGCTGACGACACAAAAAATGGCTGGAAGTTAGTTCAAAACATTAGTCTCTGCCAAAAGCATAAAGAGGTGAAATCATAAAAAATGGGAATGAAAAACAGTGCCCTGCTCTCCCCACCCACCCGCACAAGGAATTGATTTGTATTTCAAAACATCCATTATCAAGGCCTGTGTGATCACTGACTCAGAGTGCAAAGCTTGTTTCAGATGGAAGCTGTTAGTAACTAGCTATCAATACTGCCTTAGGATGTGAGAAGAGGATGACTTAGCTTGGTGACAACCTCTGTTACACAATCAGCAGCAAAAGGAAACCCTTCTAGAAGAAAAGACATTGACATTTTTCTATCTTCCAGAAGAAAATATGTATTTCAGTATACGTTACAGTGCATTAGGGTTATAGTGGGAGTATTAATCAAGTTGCCATTTTCAGCTAACTGATAACCAAAAGCAGCTGTACATTGATTTTTTTGATCAAAGCTATTTCAGCAACATGAAGGAAGGACAGTAGACAGTCAGTCTGCTTTGTTAGGCCTGAATACTCATCATCTGTAAGGACTTCTGTGACAGCTAAAACTGACCTAATTTTCTGTAATTCAAAAAATATATCTTTTTTCCCCGTTTCAATGAATACCTGTTTTATCACTGAAAGGCCTTATGTCTTTCCTACACAGATCTTCGCTACTCCATTGTGAAGTCCACGTAATTTTGTGCAAAAATGCTAAGCAGGGCAGTAAAAAAGGGTAGAGAAAAGCCCCTTGTTTCCAAAAGCATTTCAAGTGCAGGTCTGAAGTAATTTTTTACAAACTTAATGCCAAAAGCTGTGGAATTATGTTTAGTCACACAAAATTTTCTATACTACCTACCAGGAGGTCAAAAGATAATCTTATTAAACAATCTGCTGACTGCATACCTCACTATTTGCATATAGGAACTGTGTGCAAAGGTTTGAAGGGGCTTTCTCCACCCTATATGGTATTACCAGAACTTAAATCATAGTATTACTTTTACTGGGTTACTCGGGACTTAAAATCACATCCTTTGCAACAGGTACCCTACAGTTTTGGAATAAAAAAAGAAACGTTAGTGCTGACATAACCTCTTTTTCTTTTGCTTAAAACATACTTGCTTACTTTACTTTGCAGGACAGCATCCTTTTGTGATGGTAAACAACTCACTGCTGCAAACAGATGATGTTCTGAAAGTGCCAGGAAATACAGAAGATAATATTTTACCATTTCCAAACTTAAAAGGGTTTGTTTTGCTTCCTCTGCCCACACTACTGAGAAGGACAAAGCTTGTTTTTGTAAATGAAAACAAGAGATGCCACAAACAGTCTAGACCTAAGTATCTCATTTCTACATTTGTAGAACACCAAATAACAGGAAAGCTGAACAAAATTTTATGAATATCAGGCCACAGCGGAGAGACTCCAAAACCATTTGCTAACCTAGACTGAGCCACAGGCATTCTGAGGAAAACCAACTTATCTTACACAGAGAACGCTGAGCACAAACTCTCTACCACCCACAAGCTGAAATTACTGGTAGCCAATTCAGATGGCCAAAAAATAATTCCCTTTGTGATTTGCTGCTGAAGCTTCTATTAGAGGCTTCCCAGAAAAAAGGACAGCCAGCAGCTGAGACTCCACTATATGCTGAAATTTCATTAGTAGTCAGGAAAGTTAAATTTCAATATTTGTTTATCTCTCTTTTGATTTATGTGTATAGAAACACTTATTCCAGATGAGGTTCCCAGGAGACCACTGACTATGTAATGAAAATTGCTGGCATAAGTAACATGAACTAGGCTGAAATTTAAATTAGCTGCAACCACGCTGGTAACTACAATCCATTTATATTCCTTGGATATATTTGGAGACCATGATGCCAAGGAAGAAAAACAACAGGTCAGACAATGGGTTTTTTTGTCATTAAACTGCAGAGAGCACGACAGAACTCCAGCACAGGGAACATTCCCGAAGAGCAGGACAGTAATTACAGGCTACCAAGGAGTTACCCAGGAGATCAGCAAAGCATTGAAAAGTGCTGACCATTTACACCAGCCTCACCTTTATTAAAGTGGTAATACTTGGAGCTTGTGAGTAAGAAGGATACTCACTTTGGACAAAGTCCTGAGCGGCAGAACTTTGCATCCCTTGGAAAACTGTTCTCTGCTTCCTTAAGAGCAGCAGTTGACTTTTTTCCTCCCCATTAACTGGATAAAAAGGCATTTTTAGAGTTTATTTGCAGGACCTGGGCACTAGCAGGTACCTCAAGATGTGGCCTTTCCAGGATGAAGACCCAGTATCCCACTTACCAACGCAGGACGCTGGGCGGCCACTCCACACTTTGTTATCCATGCACGTCACTATCCGGTCTCCTTTCAGCTGGTATCCAGGAGAGCAGTAATACTCACACCTCGAGCCAAAATAAGCACCATCCAAACACTTGAAGCCCCCATTGGTCGGCATGGATAAGGTGGGGCAGCGCTTTTCTGGAAAAGGAAATAAAGACTTCTGGAAACCTGTTATTTTCCCCCTTTGGAGCAATGGGAATGTGGAGTATTACACAGAAATAAAGATGCATCTGGCAAATGACAAGTGGGAGAAATTCTTATTCCACTGGAAGTTTTTCTGAACTGTTCTTATTAGATGTATTTGGAATTTAACTCTACATAAGCGTTAGTGGCCTAATACAACATTTATATGGGAAAAGGGATGACAAGTACCTTTTCTCTCTTCTCAGAAAATGTTTTAATGCAAAACCCCATTTAGACAATGGTATAACTTAGAAAGTCCAGGATGGGCAATATTTTAAAGCAGCTTTATGACTCTGTCATGAAACCATTTCCACAAATCAAAATCGCACACTCATAAAACACTCCCTATCTTCCATGAGCACTTGTACCACTCAGATACTTATCATGCCACCTGTAAGATCCTCAGCAACAAACTAATATACGTATCCAATTATATTACCAACCTTTAAAAATCAGCAACAATCCAAAGATCAGTTTCAAAGACAAATGAAAATTTACTGTCCGCTGAACCTGCAACACAAGTCACACGCACTCATTTTGTAGCCACTTACGTTTGCACAGCGCTTTCCCAGACCAGCGTTTGCTTGACTGACAGATTAGCTGGTGAGGGCCATGCAGTTCGTAGCCTTTTTGACAGCGAATATCACATCTTGTGCCCAATACATTCTTGTAATATTCCCCTTGAGGTGTCCTGCAGTTTGCATAACCGTGTTTCACTTTAATAGGCGAGCACCACGGTGTTTCTGGCACAGAGAAGTCAAAAATCCACACATAACAATTAGAAAAATGCAAAAATTCAGAAACAAACATAAAATCGCTTTGTTTATTCATGGTCACAGAAAAGAAATGGGGAAAAAAATGTCTTATTTAAAAAGCCATGAATCCTCAGAGAGCAGAACAGTGCAGAGAGGTGCAGTAAGTTTTACACATCCAAATGTCAGCCCTCCAAAGACTGGTAGCTCTTTTTTTTTTATGACAAACATTAAAGATTGTAGCCATTAGACTGGAAGGGGTTGAGAGGATAACTGGGTTTTTACTATGCTTCTTGTCCATGGAATAAGTGTGCCACCATGTGGGCAGTTTGATGACAACTGGAACGTTCTTCCCTCCTGTTTTCAAGTAGCCACATCTAACTGCTCTTCGATAAGTTTGCATTAGGAACACCTCTGGTCTAGCTGTAGTTGTCAGTTGTCTACACTTAGCTCTCTTAGTGCTCATCAAAATTAAAAATCTTCCACTTCCTTAACAATCTGTGCAGTAAGGACTGCGCCTTGGCAGAATTCTGTGACGGTTCAATCTCTCCCACAGTTAGAACGGATGTCACTTACAAAAATCATATTGGCAATGTCAAGCTCATTTGTGCACATCCTCCATGTGCCAGAACAACTGCTCAGTGTTTAAGTACAGCTCCAGTTTTGCAAAGTTAGCACTCAGGATTAAGCCTGAACTGAAACGCGTGAAGTGTGCAAGAGCAGCTGCTCCCCTGCTGTTCTCAGCAGTTCTATGGTGCCACAACGTAGCAGTCAAATACTCCTTACAAATAAAACAGCCTTCTAAATCTGAAGGCAAGTGTCCAATCCAACAGACAAGTGAAGAGCTTGAAAGAAAAAAAATCTGACTTTATCCCTCTCTTTTTGGTAGCAATTTATAGCTTCCAAGGGCAATGTGCGTTTGCCCACACATATGCACAAAAGCATATATATAAAACATATATCTGACAGCACAAACCCCTGCACTTCCTACTGTCATATCCTTTAGAGGATGTCAATGTTCATTCACAAGCATACTATCTACTTATCACATATTCAGAAAAGGGAACCCAAGCTGCATAAAATTAAATTAAGTGCTAAATGCTCTCAAAGGTTTGAACATCACATGTCCTACTCTTTATCTCCAAAGATGGGTGGAGGACTGCCTTTTTTTACTATCATGAAAATGTAGTCTGAAGTACAAGAACCACTTTCTAGTTGCTCCTGATGCAGGACAGTGACATGGATGGATCTGCCAAGTCAGAGGTAGGCTGGAATTTGGCTATGAGTTCACAGCCAATTTTCCTGCCAAACTAATGGGAAAAAGGGAAACACACGTACATAAAACTGCACCTTTATTAACTGGTCAGGACTACACTTTAAATTATTCAGGATATGGGCACCATCTTCTTGTGAGGACTTAACACCATACTGTGATGCTGATGGGTGCAGTATCAAGCAGAGATTTTCCCTGCCCAGCCAAAGTTTCACATCCTTTGTTTAGCATTGACAACAGGGTGCACCAAGAAAATGGGCAGCTTCTCAGTAGGAATTTCCTACACAGGGAGTGACTAAGCTTGCCCCTTTCTCAGCTCCGTCATTTGAAAAGGACATATTGGGAGAGAATGAGGGAGGGAGGAAGGGAGGGATTGCAAGGCAAAAAGAGAAAGATGACAAGTCCTGAAATCCTGTGTGACAATGTGTGACGTGCAGGAGGGACATGAAAAAAAATCTGAACTTAGCAAGGAAGATGGAAAAAAACCCCAAACAAACAAAACACAAAGACTTTTAGCCTTCATACTCACAAAGTCGCAAGAGACATTTAAAAATAGTTTCTAGATCATCTTTGGCAGATATTTACTTCTAGCTCTTGTTTCCTGTAGTTATTATGTACATTTTCCTACACTATTTGGATCAGCTCCACACATAAATAAACAAAAATCAATACAGCCTGTTTTATTTCTCATACGTGGGATATTTATATTCAGTGCACAATGTCTCTAGGACATATTTACACTTCCCCAGTGGAAACTACATTTTACATCTGTATTTTGCTGTGCTGGTCCTGAATAAACACAAACAGCACCTACAGAGACTAATTATCAAGTTTTGGACTAGACCAAGGGCACATTCCTCTAGACTAGTCTTTTCTGAAGCAGTCATATTTTACTATGACATGCTTATTTTTGTCTTTCACTGGTACACATGAAAACTCTTCACAAAGATGGATAAGTGGCATCATTCCCAGTGTCACCAAATACACAGTAACTGAGGCACAGGACACAAGCAGGCCAGTCTAACAGCACCCAGCAGTTTAGGGTGAGAGTGCAGTTCAGCTTTCTGGCTCAGCCACACAATTCACCTCCTGGAGAAATCCTCCTACTCCTGACCTAACAACAGCATTACTATGATCTCCCTTTCAGTGGTCTCATGCCCATAATTTCCAGCTTTTCTGTCCCACTTGTTCTTCTAATGCTCAGGGGCCCTCAACTTCCATTTATTTCCATGCCCAAGCATGTAGGATCTCCTTAACTAAGGGGGAAACCTCAGTTTTTCTGCAGAATGATTTAAATCTGAAGTTACTAAGACGATACTGGCTGAAGGGGCAGAACTGGGGGGATGAAGACTCATTTGGGCTGAGCTTTTGCCCCAGCCAGTTAGGTAATCCTTCAGCAAATCTGTTCAAGATATTTAAGCCTCAGGTTTTCCATGTGTATGAACTCCAAATGCACATCCAAATGCTGATTTCCTTTGTAAAGGTTGTTAAGACAAATATGCTATGCAACATGATCAGGAGGCTAATAATAATAATAATAAAGGCAAAGCAGCTGTTTCAGGTATGCAAATTGCCTGAGTTTTTCTGTAAATTTTTGTGGTTTTACAAACGCCTTAAATAAACAGCCACACATATATTTTGAAAACAAAAAAAAACGGCCAACAGCTAACAAATGCAGTTTAATGCACAAACACAATACTGAAAAAGAAAATGCCTTTCCTGTAGTGCCACTGCAGCTACACTGGTCTACAGAAAGAAACAAAGCAAGACTCTTAAGGAGGGGGAAAATACATCCTATACTGGACCAAATGATACTTCCAGAAAGAAAAACAATAACAAACACGCTTTTGGATCCAGATGACTTGCAGAACTTAGGAGGAACATCTGTTTGATCTAAAACACTGTAATACTCTAGAACTAATTGTGATTAAAGTGGATGAGGCAGGGTTTACAAGGGGCAAATATACGGGTTTAGACCAACTAATACTGCTGGGAAAAAACCCCTAGCTAACTTGAAAAGCACATCAAACAATACAATGAAGTTTGAGATCAAAGTTTGTTTATATTTAATTGAAGTCATGTATTGGTTTTCAAAGGGTAAGCAGTTACATGGAGCACGTGTAGAATATTAGGTCTGTGTGGAGCCCCAAGAGGTCACAAAGCTGTTCCCTGCCTCAAGGCAAGATCAGCCACTTTCCTGAAGGCTTTGGGAATTAGAAAAGTTACAGGTTCCCCAGGCACCTCTTCCGGAATATCACCATTTATACCAGGCACTCTTCACTTAACTGAAATTTGAGTTTTTAGGTACCAGGACCTATGTACTGGTTTTTTGTTTAATAAAAAGTTTGTGCCTTAGTGCAAACTAGAAAGAACTAGAAAGTTCCTCAGCGACACAATAGCCTGAATTATCACTTGGTAGTAAAACATTTCAGAGACTTGATGCTGTGTTTGAACACATGGAAAACAGGAAGCAAGCAGAGAAGGTTGAAGTTCCAGTACTGCCTCTACAGCTGGGACTATTGTTTGATTAGTACAATATTTGAGAGGGAGCCCCTGGTGGTCTAGTGGTTAAGGACTCGGCGCCGTCAACGCCGAGACCCGGGTTCGATTCCCGGTCAGGGCCACTCCCTGGGCAGATGGAGCTTGTTAGCCCTGTAAGGCAATCCATCTACGTCCTGAGGACCTCACTGCCACCGTCCAAGCTCACTTGGCCCTGGCAGATGAACCTCAGGATTAAAGGATGGGCTCAGTTCCGTGCACATTGTGTCTCACCTAAAAAATCCAATGCGCAGGCTGGAAGGTGTAAAGACCTTCCCTGGATCCTCGTTCACGAAGGCTGGCCATTATTTATTATTATTATTTGAGAAAACACCAGAGCAGTGGCACTGGAGCTGTACACACAAAGCCCTTTCTCATGAAATGTGATCACAGACAGCCGTGCCAAGTGGCAGGAAGGAAAGCATCTTTGGGGTATTGTTTCCCCCAACCCCTTGGTCCTGTCTAAACACCAGCCTCAGCCTTCACAAGCAGCATGCAAAGTGACCAGCTGTACTGTTGCTTGCTGGTACACCAGGTAACAGAGCTGAAGGTTCACCAGAGAGGAAGGAAAAACTCTTTAAAAATGCTGTGGGCACAGAAAATCTTGGTGACGTTTCTCTGGAAAGCTGAGCAAGTGGAAAAACATCCAGATGAAGACAAAAGGGTTTAGCAGGAGGTCTATTTTCACCCCTCCTAGTAAACTGCAATGTTTTGTTTGCAGATGTCAAAGAGAATGAATTTGTGTGCTTGCTTGCACTGTTTAGTGACTATGTGTGCAAAGAAGAAAACCAATGCTGCTTATCTATGTTACCATCAGTTAGGAAAATCCATTTAGTTATTTGTTACTGGGAAGCTTTATTTGATGAGCAATGGGTCACACCCAAAATGCTGGACTGGACATCTGAGGAGAAGCTCTGAACATTGCTACACAGCCCATTTTTCTTGCTTTGTCTTTCTCCACCCCTTTCCCTCAAAGCCAACATAAAGAAGTATGCTAATGAAGACTGAGCCTTTTCTACTCCAGTGCTTTACACTCTTAGATTCACATTGTCTGTTCCTCAAGATTTGGCAGTAGTGCTTCCAGACTTGGGGCAGTTTTTAATATCTGTGTGAACGAGTCATTATGTTTCGCTTAACCCTGGTGACATTTTGGCTGACATGATTATAATTCATTTTGGAACATTATATAAAAGGAAATTATAAAGAATCCACATTTTAACTACTTGCCTGCCCTGGCATGAACTGGCATTGCTTTATCTTCATGGTCTCTGGAATTCTTTTTCTATGTGTCTGCAGAGGACACATGTTAAAAGGCAAAGAAAAATGAGTTTACCTAAATAAAGCTTTAGAGAAGTATTTGTGCACGTGTCTGAAAGTAAAATGTTATACTGAAGTATTTTACTGTAAGGAATATGAGACATTTACAAAATAGCAATGTAGCCATTACAGCTGTACTTTCCCCTTTGTTGTTCATAAATGTCAGAATTATTTTATGACTTACCTCTTACACGGTCCATTGATTCTTTGCAGAGAATCAGTAACATACAACAAGACACTAATGACCACTACTTTCAAGTAATCAAAATTATTACAACTCTAACATGTCCACAGATCAATTTACTAAAAAAAAAAAAAACAAACCACAGTTGCCATTTAAAGTGATAAATTAAATGCCAAGTTTCTTTACTGTCTAGGCTCCTGAGGGATTTTGGCTGAGGAGAGAGGTACTGAGACAGAAGTAGACTTTTAAAGAAAATGGACATTGCAAGTGGAAGATTTACTGGTAGTGGCAAAAAAAAGTCTCAGTCTTGCAGACTGACAAAGTCTTCCAGAACAGGGAAGAAAACCTGAATTTGCTTTATAAACATGCCAGTCCATTCATTAATCCAGCTACTAATTTTTTTTTTTTTTTAATGTATGCATTCATTTGTTAAACACACTTCACTTGGCATTTCAGGTAGCAGGTTAACCTGAAATGCAAACAATTTTGTGGAAAAAAAAAAAAAAAGTAATGAAAATCAGGTTCTCTTGCACATACTTCAATACATCACCATCAGTAAGCCCAGAGTTTGAGTCAGCTTATCATTGATGGTTTTGTTGGGATGTATGAAGAAGAAAGAGAAGCTCTTCCTGATTTTCATGATTTAACAACCTGATCTTCCAGGAGGAAAGGCAAGGCAGAAGTTACTTACTCAGGTGCATAAGAGAGTTGTGATCAGTACTTGGTCTAATTTCCATTGTTTAAAACAGTAGAAATTAAATCTGAGTATAAAAATCCATGAGACAAACCATGGAGCTGGATCACCAAGATTTTCTAATCCAGGAAAAGAAAAAGAACGAAGCTTTCTCTCAGCAACCAGCTGATCCTCTTTAGCACATGAGCAAAGCATTCACCTTTATATCTATTGCGTGCATACACATCCTCGTCATCTTCAAGGGGTGAGTATCCCGATCCTACAATACAAAATAAGAGAAAAAAAAATGCAGCAAGAAAGGAAACATAAATTAAGAATAAAAGAGAGATTTGAGAAAAGACATGCAAGATTAGGATGCAATAATCTATGCAATGTCATCAGCGTGGGCTTCTCTGAAGCTCAGTCATAGCAGACCCAGTTTATAGTGAATCTGGAAGGGGCAAATTGATTTGATAATCAGGTAAAATAATAAATTTCTCTTGGTGCTCACAGAGCAATGCTGTGCAATGTTAAGTTGCACTTGTCAAGTCACAGCTCCTCTGTTATGGGAAGCCCAGCTGCCATGTAGTTGATCTACTGAGCAGAGAGAACAGGGCAGGTACAGGTGAGGGGGCACATCAGAGGTTTCACTATAAAGTGGTTCTTTAGTGTCAGTGGCTGTTAACAGCCATCAGGCCAAATAGCAGAAGTAAAATGTGCATAACTCAAGTACAACCCTCTTTAACTTGTATGATCCTTACACCAAGAACAGAACCCGGAGGTACGTTACCTGCAAACAAAAGTTACATTCAGATCAAAAACACGGTTTGGTTTCAAAAATTTTTATGGAGTTTATCAAATAAAGAGACAGTATAGTTCTGTACTTCTAAAAACCTGTCCAATGACCAAAAACTTGAAATAGAAGTAGAAACTCCTTCCTAAAAACCAGAAACCATTTGTAGCACCACTATTCAAGTAATTCATCAGTAAAACTGAGCAGTTGGCAAGAAAGTCTTCAAAATATCCCTAAGCAACATTTATTTCAAATCAGAGACTTCAGAGCATGAAGTCTAGTCTAAATTCTGCATAAGTCCTTTCTACAAAGAAGGGTTCATGCAAATTCCTTTTTTTAAAAACTTTTCTAAAAATCTTGCATGCAACAGGTGGGTACTTGGGGGCTCAGCACTACACCACAGGAGCTCCTCATATATGGTATCTCAAATTACAGCTATGGGGGTATTTCACTGCCATTTGTTGACATATGAGACCATGGTCTGTACAAGCTGCTGCTTAAAGTTAGGCAAAATTAAATAATTTAGGTGCCTCAATAAGCTACTAATTTCATGCACAAATGACACAACATCTGCTGTTAGATTCCACTTCTTATTAAAAAAAAACAAACAACAAAACAAAATAAGCTGCACAGGAAACAGTGAAACTTTATTTCTTACTCTATTGGACTCAAGCAAACCCAGCTCATGTATCTGTTCACCCAGCTGCTTCACAGGAGTAGCTTTGGTGCAAAGGGTTGGTCTAAAGAAGGGCAGTGCCCTCCACAGCATCAGCCACAGCACTGCTCATGAGGGTTCTGACCACCTGAAGGTGAGACTCTGCATCTCCCAGGACCCTTCTCGTCACGTTATTGGCACCCAGGACCCACCAGCCTGCAGCACTGGGCAGCTCCCTCAGGGAACTGCAGGGAAGCGGCAGATCCGCGCGCTCCACATCAGACCAAATTCTTGCGCTACAGCTGCAGTTATGTGAGCGTGAAAAATCTGGAGAGTTGTACTATAAAAGTAACAAACCTCCACAGTTCACCTTGGACCTGATTCAAAGCTTGCTGTCATCACTGGGAATCCTTAACATCAGTTTTCAGAAAGCTTTGAGATGAGACCTGATCAAGTGAATTTCTCAACAGCTTCTCCTCTGAAAACAAGTGGTTTATGTATAACAAAGGTTTCCTATCACTCGGAGGCCATTTCTCTGGACTTTTTGTACTTATTGTTGTGGTTGAATTTTTGATGCCTAAACACTGACATCTGAGAAACTTCTGAACATAAAACCAAACTTTATTGCACTTGAAACCTGACTGTATAGCATAAAGAGCAAGCTGTGATCCCTGAGGGCTTTGTGAAGACCTTGATATGTAAATGAACATCTCTCTTAAATATCATTTTTTCTGTAAACAACTGGGATACTCTTAGCTAATCACTCACTTTGAGGGTTATAAAACTGTTTCCTCAGTGTTATCAGTCTTAATTGTCCAAAATTTAGTGTGCAGCGACTTTAGCATTTAAAATAAGTAAATCTTAGAATTATGTGAGCTCTTACATATTTACCTTTCCTTAGAAAAGAAATAATGATCTTAGACAAGAACTAACAATGGCTTTTGAAAGTCTTCTAACAAAAACTGGCCTAAAGAGTTATTCATTGAATAGCTTTTGCCCTGAAACAAGGTTCTGTTGATGGAGCTTGACATCTCCAATTTGCAGCTCACTTTCTAGCTCGAAATGAGAAGTGAGTTGTGTCTCTTTCTTAACAAGCAGTGTTTCATTAATAACCACAGCAGGCTTGGTTTGAGGACATAAGAAAGGTTGTCATTGTCCTGTTCTGGGACAGTCTTGCTCCCATAGGGAGCCTACCAGCTTGAGCTGGGGGCACCAAGGACAGTTTGGGCATCACCCACTTGGGCATCACCCACTTGGGCCATGCCATGAAGAACCAGCCTAACCCCAAGGGCTGCCCCTGAAGACCTAGGCTGGCTCTAGTAGGATGTATCTACACCACAACTGCATCACTGCCCTGGGCACAGCAGCACAACCTCTCCCAGAGGTGCCAGATTCTCTCCTGTCTCCATTTGACCTTCTTCACTCTGGCACTAGACACACACTGGACCTGGCACTCCCCAAATTCACCCACCCACACCAGGCTGCACATCCGTGTTACACAGCAGCCCTCCAACAAAGCCATCCCATGTCAGCAGATGGCTGCACTCCTGGCAGCCGCCACGCCTGACCTGGCACCTCATTCCCCACTGGTGCCACCCCACCAGTGACCCTGAGCAAATCACCATTTCGTATCTGTTTTCTCAGCCATAAGTCAAAGTGTTTCTGTTTCACATACGCTCAAAATTGGCTACTGAGCCATGTAAGGACAAAGCATTGTTCTGCGCTGGAAGTGCTAAAATTATCACAGTTCAGAAACTGGGTATTTGAGGAAGAATGATGAGAACGAGCTGCTTTGCAGATGTCCCACATCATGACTCAGGGTATAGCTGGTTACTGTAAAAAACAGCTGTAGACTTTGGTCTGGTAGATGGCATGCAAAATGCATGAAGTAACGCTTTCATTTTTAATTTAATCTATGACTTAGATTATTCTGTTTGTGTTGGGGGAAAAAAGAATTCTTCATTCACAAAATACCACTACATTTTTATAACTGTATAAATGGGATGCACAGTAAATATTTTTATAACTGTATAAATGGGATGTGTAGGAAATATTTCTATTTACATACATTTTATTAGGGTGCAGATTCTTAAAGAAACTGTAAGAATTTTAGTAGAAAACACATAGCAGACGTCTGTCACTGTGAACTTAGTAGTCTGTGCTGAATAAACCCAGCACAGAACTGCCAGACAAGGCAGGAGGAGCTATGACAGTAAGCCAGTAAACCTTCTGGCAAGGTGAAAGTCCTTGTACAAGAAAAGTTCGTTATTAAGATGAAACATTTACTGTTCAAACTGGCAAGCTAAAGGGAACACTCATACGCAAAACTCACTCATTTGTACAAAACCAAAATCAGACCATTTCAGGATCAGTTTTGCCTGTGTTTTGGGGTTGTCAAATCCATCCCAAATGTCCCAACACTAGAGTCCAAGCCTATTTTCATTCAGCAGAACACTTGAGTATCTCCTGAAGTGACCTTAGCAGCCTCAAGGAGACAACTTGTTCTACGCTAAACTGACCCAAAATTGACTACAGAAGTTTACATCCAGCATCAAACATTTGAAGAAGTATGCCTCTGCTTTAGCACCACGACCCAGTGGAGGCTGCTGTTCTCAGTTTCTCCCCACTGCTCCAACTCCACACCCACAGCCCAGCATTTGCTCTCCTGACCAGGGACCTTGGTCAGCTCAAAATAAAGGGAAGGAAGCAGAGCTGCATTCTTGAATGAGCACAGCTTACCATGACATGTTCACATTTGCACACAACACGTATGTTGAGCAAAACAGGCGTTCAGCAAGATACTTTCTGCATTTCTAGGATCTTATCATCCTCCCCTTTGCCTGATGGTTACTAAATCTGCAAAAGCTTTGAGAGAAGAGTATTTCCATTGCTACATAAGTCACAAACAATTTCTCTGTGTTTGCTGAGCCAGAGAAAACAAAAGATAGATTAAATTTCAACAGGACTTCTGCTGTCCATTGGTTTTGCTCAAAACCTGACTCTCTTAAGTACATTACTGATTTGTGCATCATGGATCCCTAAGCAGATAAAATGACACTACTCCAAACAAGATCCCAAACTTCACCAAACATGTCAGGCACACCAATTCAGGCCTTAGCAGACAAAACCTCCACAGTAAAACCTTTCAGATATTACTTGGGCTTTAACAGGAAAACAAACTTTCCATTCCACCTTATGACCTCAGAGATCTCCAGAATGGAAGAGCTGTTACTAATTGCTCAGCCACCTTGATTCTACAACAAAAAAAACTTTGCAGGTTCTCTAAACTGAAATCAGGCATTTTCTCACTGGATCATTTAATTCTGGCAAGCAGTAACAACACAAGTTTTAAAATAATAATGGAAATGCACAAAAGAAAAATCAGTACCAGTAGAAGACTTAAAGGTTTCTTTTAAAAAAGGTTAAGAGGAAAAACAAAGCACTTTAAGTGAGAAACATAACATTAAAGCCTGCAACCACAAATAAACCTTCACAGAGTTATTTGCTGAAAAACCTTGACCCAGGTTGCTGGGCAACCTGTATGGACAACAGACAGCAACGGCGAAAGTCACTGAAAGATTTGGCAACTTTTTAGTTTACTGCTCTGAGACACAAGTTCAGGAACTTAAGTACAAGAGGATACAGCGCTTAGCCTGCAATAAGGGTTTTTTAATTTGAACAGAAGTGCTGTGCTCCCTAGTTTAGCACCAGATAGGCTGAGGAGTTTCATAACTACTGTACTTACAGTCCTGCAGAATCTGTTAATAAAAATTCCAACTTTTAGGGGATACTATTTTGTCGATTTACACCATTGAATTTCTTCAGCCTTCTTTTTCTTTCTTGTGCTCTTCGCTCAGGGTTTATAAGGGTTACATAAAATTGAGGTAGAGACTGTAAAAATTTGCAGAAAAAGTCAGTGTTCTAGTTTATGATCTACTGAAACCTGAAGTCTCAAATATAACACCAGTTTGGTCAACAGTGGCTGAATATGAGCCAGTGTGTGCCCAGGCGGCCGAGAAGGCAAATGACAGCCTGGTTCATATCAGCCATAGTGCGGTCAGAAGGACCAGGGCAGTGACTGTCCAGTTTTGAGCCCCTCATAACAACAAAGACACTGAGATGCTGGAGTGTGTCCAGAGAAGGGCAACAAAGCTGGTGAAGGGTCTGGAACACAAGTCTTATGAGGAGTGACTGCGGGAGCTCGGGGTTTTTAACCTGGAGAGATGGAGGCTGCAGCAAAACCTCATTATTCTCCACTACCTGAAAGGAGGTTGTAATGAGGGGTAGGTCAATCTCTTCTTCCAGGTAAAAATCAATAGGATGAGAGAAAATGGCCTTAAGTTGTGCCAGGGAAGGTTTAAAATAGACATTAGGAAAAATTTCTTCACTGAAAGGGTTGTCAAAAGCATCAGAAGAGGTTGCCCAAGGAAGGGGTTGAGTCACCATGTCTGAAGATATTGAAAAGACACCTAGATGTGGCATTTAGGGATATGGTTTAGTGGAGCGATTAAAAGCAGATATTTTAGAAAATCATTTTACAACAACTTTTGTGTGTGTGTATGTGTGTATAAGGCCATATCTCCAGCTTCTGTAAACTGACTTTAACCCAAAGAGCACTTTAGAGTGTGAAATAAAGCATGTCAGGAAGTAGGACTGGTAACTCATTGCTTTTTCTACCTTAGTGTATTTTTTATGCTACTAAAATAAGGGATCATTTGGCTTCCATCATTCTTAATAAGAACTCTGAAGGGAGATTCTGAGAAAATATGAGCTTATGCCACTGTAGAATTCTGGCACAGGAAAAGGAGGTGAGCACTGATTGCTGGGGAAAGCGGAACCTCTGTATTGACATCTCTGGATTAGAACTTCATGCCGCGCCCCCTCCCCGGCTCGGAGGGACGAGACGGCTCCGCTCCCCGCGCCCCCGGGGTTGGGGGGCTCCCGGCCCCGCCATCCTGTTCCCTCCCTTCATCCCCTGCCCTTCCCTACCCTGGTACTCCAGGCTGGGCCGGGCGCCCAGGGCGAGCAGCACGGCGAGGCGCAGCCAGCAGCTCCCCATGCTCCGGACGGCGGCTCTTCCCGGCCCGGGGCTGCGCGGCAAAGGGGCAGGAGGAGGAGGAGTGGGACGGAGACATTCTCCGAGCGGTTCCCGGGCGCCGCAGAGACTCCTCCTCCTCCATCCCCCCACCCCGGCTCTCCGGGACCAGCAGCGGTGGGGAAGGTGCTCGGACGTTTGGGATCCTTCAGGGCTTCGGCGTCTCTTGCGCCGCTCGCTGCCCCCCGAGGGGCTCCTCCGACCCGCTCCCCTCCGACGTGGCCTCTGGGAGCCCCCCGGTGGTGCCCCGGCCCCGGGAGAGGTATGGGGTCCCCACCCTGTGCCCTGAGCCTGGACCCGCTGTGCCGGCCAGACCTCAGCAAGGGCACCAAGCCGGCCGGGACAGCGTGCCCGTCACAGAGGTCTTCTCACACAGTCACAGCATCAGTTTAGGTTGGAAAAGATCTCTGAGGTCGAGTCCAACCTGTGACTGAACACCACCTTGTCAACCAGACCATGGCACGGAGTGACACGTCCAGTCTTTTCTTAAACACCTCCAGGGACGGTGACACCACCACTTCTCTGGGCAGCCCGTTCCAGTGTCTAATCACCCTTTAGGTGAAGAAATTCTTCCTATTGTCCAACCTAAACCTAAAGCAAATTCTTGTGCCAGCTCCTTCATCACCCTAGGATAGATCCCATCCAGTCCCATTGACTTGTGAGCATCTAAGTGGCACAGCAGGTCACTAATTACCTCCTCCTGGGTTTCAGGGGATCTATGCCGTTCCACGTCCCTGCCTACCAGCACCGGAGGCCAGCTGTCCTGAGGATAACTCATCTCATTGTTGGAGATGGGGGCAGAGAAAGTGCTAAGTACCTTGCCTTTATTGACTATATTCTCGGCTTCATCCAACAAAGAATGGAGGTTTTTCTTGGCCCTCCTTTTGTGATTAACGTATTTTTAAAAACACTTCTTATTATCTTTTAAGAAGTGGCCAGATCAAGTTCTGAGCGTTCGCCTCTCTGATTTTCTTTCTCCATGACCTAATGACATCCTTAAATGCTTCCTGTTGTATTGATGTGGGGGTTGGTCTCTTCTCCCAAGTAATAACTGATGGGATGAGAGGAAGCAGCCTCAAGTTGCATCAGGGAAGGTTTAAAATAGACATTAGGAAAAATCTTTTCACCGAAAGGCTTGTCAAAAGCATTGGAATGAGCTGCCCAGGGAAATAGTTGAGACAGCATCCCTGGAGGTATTTAAAAGACATGTAGATGTGGCACTTAGGGACGTGGTTTAGTGGCAGACTTGACAGTGCCAGGTTAAAAATTGGTTTCAGTGATCTTAGAGGTCTTTTCCAACCTAAATGATTCTATGAATTTACTTAAATGGGAATTTCAGCAAAGATCACTAAATTTCCAACATTTTGAACAGTGCTAGGAAATAGAAAACATTACAAAAATCCCTAAAAACACTGTGATAATTTCCAATTTCATCTGCATAGTAGATTTCATGGAATAACAAAGAAGAAACAAAAAAGTGAAAAAGAAACAAACTGAAAATACCCCAGAGTTGTAATGACGCTGTGTGCTGTGTACAAAGAAACAACATGAATTAAATGAACCTAGATGGCATATTCTGTGGTCTGCAGGCACTGCCTACTCTTAATATTGGTAGGAAAGATAAGGCTCATTCAACATTTGACCTATCCTTTAAAACAGAGAAGAGTGTTTTGGAATTCCAACCATATTCAAGCAGCTGATCAGTCTGAGCATGTGTAAGAAGAGGACAACCAGTCAGTCTGTAACATCTGGATTTAGTTCCTCCAATGTTTTGCCTCAGAGTTTTACATTCCACAGTACCTGAAGCCATATCAAATATGTGGATTTAAAACCTTAGCTCTACTGCAGCAGACTGCAAAGCTTCTTGCAGTATGGCAGGGCTAGGGTCACTCAGAAGTCTGGAAGATGTACATGAGGAGGTCAAAAAATGGACATGATCTTCACATTAGAGGTCTTTACTTTGTGTGTAAAAATACTTGCACTCATTTTACGATGGTACTAAAAATGGAAAGCTGGGTTTTTCATCTCATTCTTTACTGGCTGAGCATTACGCCCCAGAGTTCTGTAAAGCTCATGTTTAAAAACCATGTGCTTTGGTGAGATGTCAGTATTTGTTTAAAAACTGCCTGCACAGTCAGGTGTTTTGTTGCATCTGGTCTGCAAGGCTTAAAAAAATTAAATATACATATTTTGTTACAGAAATCATAGAACCCTAGAATGGTTTGGGTTGGAAGGGACCTTAAAAAACAGAAAAGCAACCATTTTGTATTCAGCAAGAGTAGTGCTGAACTGAGAAGCAGAAGATATCAAGTCAATCATGCCACACTCCTGAATGCAAATGCTGCTCATCCATCCCAGCCAAGTTAATAATCCTATGAGCAGTGTAGTAGCCCAAATCATTAACTTCCAGAGTTGTTTAGGAATTTCCCTGCCTGTATCTATGGAAATACACAGGTGTATAGCACAGATTCGAGCTTCCATCCACACCCACAAGCTCCTGTGCTTCTATTCCTTGCAGGTTTAAGGTCTTAAAGGCACAGAAAGTAATTCCATACCAAGGAGATCCCCTCAGGGCCATACACAGATTAATTCACTGTGTCTCAGTATTGATAAAGATGCAAACACCACATGTTAAAAAACAGGTTTTAACTTGCTTCCAGAGAGATGCCTCATGCAAGATTCCATCAAAGAACAGCTCTTTCAAAGTCTTAATCAAAGCACAACTGAAATGAAGAACAGAAAGCTTCAGAATTATCAAGTTCAAAAGAGGTCAGAGATGCCTGGCGTTTACATGCCAGCAGCAGCTTATGCTTTGTGAAATAAAACCATCCAATTACACAGCAATCACGAATCCTACTAGGAAAATGCAGGCACAGGTTATTTTCCCAAAAGATATTCTCTTTCCTTGCAGCTTGTGACCCAGTGTCACCATGAAGAAACACTGCATCTGACACCAAGCTATGAAGGTGTTTCCAAATAAAATAATTACCTGTTGGGAGAAATATTGCTTTACATAGAAGGCAGCTAACAAGATAAAACTCGTTTCACATGCTGGCAAATACTGTGCAACAACAACAACAAAAAAGCACTGTTCCTGGCGTAAGTCATCTCCTTCACTTCAGTGAAGTCACGTATCCACAAGCAGGTAGCCAAGTCCATGCAGTTTACTCTCACAAAAATCAGTGGTGTGATAGAAACCACATGGATACAGGAGTCAGTGTTAATCTAGAAAAGCTCTGTAAAGTACAATTGAAGTCTTCTTCCTTTTGTTTGTAGATATCTTAGATACAACAAATCCTTAGCAAAACACTTTCCATCATTGATTTTGGTTTATTTTTCCCACTCCAGACTGGCAATAAGAAGTGGAACTGGTTCAAGTGGCTCTGAGTCAATGCAGGAAAGAGTCCTGTAACACAGCTGCAGTCAAGGGAAAGCTGGCAGATGTAATGAGAGGCTACAAACCCCTTTGCCAGCACACTTGTACAGTCCAGGAACCTTACTGCACTCTTAGGCTGCTCCCAGATACCTTGCTCCATTGCAAATGCATTTGCTTTTACTATAATCATGTGTTTAGTGTTAGAATGAGCTGTATGTTCAAATGCTGCTTGCCAGTATATACACATAAAATGACCAAAGGCCTTGGGCAATTGTTTTTTAAATACTATTCATTTGAAGCTGTAAAAAAAAAAAAATGTCCTTCATGAAAATTGTGTCTTTATATTCAGTGAAAATAAATGAGGCATTTCCAGAATCCTTATTCTGGAAATTTTAAAGAAAAATTCCAGAATACTAACTCTGGAAATTCTGGTTTGCTCTGAATTGCTCTTGTGAGGTGACACAACGGGATGTGAGGGTTTAATCGGATTTTGCTTAAATTTTAATTTCAAGCTGTAAAATGCATATAGATCTGTATAGTGGGTTTTCACAGAAATGTTAAGAAAATCTAGACAAAAATGGTGAAATATATGGATGGAAGACCTCTGCTACTGAAATAAAGGGGGGAAAAAAGCAGCTCAGCAGGCCAATAAAGATATAGTTGGGAGCATTTGTACAATTTTAAGAGAAATTTAGTCATCTCCTGTGTTGTTCCATATTTCCCTCATAAGCCGTGTTCCCTCAGCTGAAAGCTGGCACGATGATTCATCTTTTAGATGGGCTATGGGAGTCCAGTGGGAAACTTGGCTCAAAGGGAAAAATCTTAACATAAACAGTATCCTCCGGAAATGCTGATTGCCAGCCTGACCAGTGAGAGGGATGTGTTTTTTTTGTTTTGTTTTTTCTCATTGTCAAATCAAACTTTTACATAACTAGATGCAGAGAAAAGGGCAGATGTTAGCTTCCAGGGTTTTAAGCCATCAAAGAAGGCCCAAGAGTATCTTCCCTTCCTTTTAGAGGACTACATCTGAATAAAAATCTTGCAATAAATTGAAATCCGGCAAAACAAAATAAAAACTTCAAAAGGACAGGTGAATGAGAAAAGTCCCTGATCTTCTGGAAAGGCAACTAGTTACGCCAGCAGGAGACCAATAGGGAGGAAACTGGAGAAAAAATGTTTCCTTTGTTCAAAATATGAAGAATTCAAAGCTCGATTTTTGCTCAAGGAACTCCTCAATAAATAATGCCAAAAAAATTAATGGCAGCATCTCCCTTTATGATTAGAAACTGTCACAGTTTTTTACCAGAGAAAGGACAAAAGGTGTCCTGAACACTAAAATGTAAACCAACTCAGCTGAACAAAATGTACATCCTGTAACTGATAGGTTTAAGGAAGGTAAGCACACTGAATTAAATCTACATAAAGCACAGCTATATAGCTTCATCCTGTGTAATATATTTGTTATCCTGAGCACATACATGGTCTAAGCCAGAGTTTAAGCCTAGCAGAAAAGCAAAGCCTTCTGTATTTACAGCAGCTATGGGGTTGTCCATGGATATAGGAGAATGCCTCAATATAGAAGACTTTCCAGTCTGTGCCTGACAAGCTACAAGAGGCTCT